TTACAGCTGCATATGGCATACAATTACATCAATTACAGCTGCATATGGCATACAATTACATCAATTACAGCTGCATATGGCATACAATTACATCGATTACAGCAGCATTTGGCATACAATTACATCAATTACAGCTGCATATGGCATACAATTACATCAATTACAGCTGCATATGGCATACTGGCCAACATCCGTGTATCCTTCAGAATCTTGGACAAAGGGGCTTTCCGGGCCCTGTAAACAGCAATTAAAAGTTAGTTTCTCTTACGTACTTTATTTACGAAGGTTGAGGAAAGTGGTGAAGGGTAGGAAAGGCGTGAAGGAAAGCGAAGGTTATGTATCAGATGGCTACAGGTGGAGTGTAGCGCAGGTGGCTATAGTCATAACGGTCGTTTAGAGGGAAGATGGGATATAGGGATAAGGTTTGTGTAGTGTAGAAGCTTGCGGTGATGGAGATAATTGTGTAGTGAAGATGTGCTTGACACCCGAGCAATGCCGGGTACCCCTCCTCCCCCACCCCCCTCTACTATATTTATATATTCTCCAAATTACATTTAAATACATTTACAGAAATTATCCAGAAAGGCGCAGAAACTGTACATATAAAAGGAATTTTGCAGTTGTGTTATGCTCATTAGATAATTATTCATAAAATTGTAAATTAGTTTTTGCAAGGTGGAAAAAAATATTATGCATGTAATTCAATTTGAAAATACTCTTGTTTATACTCTCTTTCTCCCTCTCTCTCTCTCTCTCTCTCTCTCTCTCTCTCTCTCTCTCTCTCTCTCTCTCTCTCTCTCTCTCTCTCTCTCTCTCTCTCTCTCCTCTTCCATGACCGCCCTTCTCTTCCTATCCACAAGCACTCAAAAATACATCAGCAGGTGGTAGTTATGTGTACCTTGAAGAGCATGTAAGTAGTTCGTACCCATATGTGTGTGTGTGTGTGTGTGTGTGTGTGTGTGTGTGTGTGTGTGTAATATAATACATTACATTTTCATTGTATTCTGCAACATGATACACTAAAATTAAATATAAAACAATAATATACACTGCTGCTCAGTGTAATACAGTCCAACTTAATAAAATGCATTATAATACAAAATATATAATTTAATACAGTGCAATAGAATAACAAAAAATACAAGTCAATGTAAAAACAAAACACAAGACAATTCAAAGCATTATACTAATTCTAATTAATAACATAATTTTCAGTATTATGAACGTTGTATTTGTGATTTTTTTAATTTTTTTATTATTATTATTTGCATTGTGTATTTTATTTTGTCACGTCTCTGATCAACTGACCCAATATTCGAAAACAAAAAAACTGTAAAAAATATTCATATATACAATTTGGCGACAGTTTTTGAAATGGAAGCTAAATATATCAGTATCGAAATCTAATACGATTTCAATTTCAGTAAGATAATCTAATTAAAATTAAAAATATGCAGTGATGCTATTCAATATATATTTCATTGTGGTTTGGATTATTTCTAATAGAGAAATTATACAGTTTTTGGTGTCATAAAGTTATTTTTTTTTCAATTCCCTTCGCCCTTCAGAGATGGAGGCTTTAGCGTGTGTGGTTGTGTGTGTGTTTGTCTGTACTTGTGGGGAGGTTGAGCTTCAGTTCTTGGGCACCTAGCTCCTCTCATCTTTCAATTAATGTTGTAGTTGGTACACTATCATTTGCATTTTTGGGGGACGGGGGGGGGAGGCAGGGATATTCTAGGGCAGTTAAGTGTTAGTCGTTCATGTGTAATTCACAGTTTGTAATTGAAAGTACGTGTAATACACAGTGTGTGTGAAATAATATGTGTAACATGCAGAGTGAACATTTTCAATCAAACTGGCATAATATGTCACATTATTTCATACACACATGTATGAAATATGGGATTCGTAGTCCTGAGGTTCCGGGTTCGATCCCCGGTGGAGGCGGAGACAAAGGGGCAAAACGTTTCTTTCACTCCTGATGCTCCTGTTACCTAACAGTAAATAAGTACCTGGGAGTTAGACAGCTGCTACGGGCTGCTTCCTGGGGATGTGTAACAAAAAGGAGGCCAGGTCGAGGACCGGGCCGCGGGGACGCTAAGCCCCGAAATCATCTCAAGATATGTTCTGTTGTACACATGTTATGTTGCACATATGTTGCACACGGTACGTTTCACACGAAATTTTGCACATATTTACTATTGCACACTGTCAATTGCAGCCCTGCCAGTTGCAGACCCTACCAGTTGCAGACACTGCCAGTTGCAGACCCTACCAGTTGCAGACACTGCCAGTTGCAGACCCTACCAGTTGCAGACCCTACCAGTTGCAGACACTGCCAGTTGCAGACCCTACCAGTTGCAGACCCTACCAGTTGCAGACCCTACCAGTTGCAGACCCTACCAGTTGCAGACACTGCCAGTTGCAGACACTGCCAGTTGCAGACACTGCCAGTTGCAGACCCTACCAGTTGCAAACCCTACCAGTTGCAGACCCTACCAGTTGCAGACCCTACCAGTTGCAGACCCTACCAGTTGCAGACCCTACCAGTTGCAGACTCTACCAGTTGCAGACCCTGCCAGTTGCAGACACCTGCCAGTTGCACACTATCGGTTGCACATTTCGCCTATTTGAAACCGTGCATCAATCTTCGTGAACGCATTAACTTTTGGACGAATCCGACTGAAATTCCGGTCAGTTAAAAAATGGTGATTAGTCCAACCGCGAATTGTCTAATTATACAACTCGTACCTGCAACCTGTGCAATTACTGCAACAACCTACCTCTGCGTCCTCTGTTGCTCCATACATGTGCAATGATGATCAGGAGACCATATGACACGTTGGTGGGTCAGTCAGGAGGTAAGAGACGAGAGATTGGGTGGACATATGAGGCCTGAGTGTGTACCTCTGTGTATGTGTACATGTACGTGTGTGTTTATCTCTGTGTATGTGTACATGTGCGTGTGTATGTGTGTGTGTGTGTGTGTGTGTGTGTGTGTGTGTGTGTGTGTGTGTGTGTGTGTGTGTGTGTGTGTGTGTGTGTGTGTGTGTGTACACCTATGACGGAGTGTATAACCGTTCCCGTATGTGTGTATAAGTCCAGGGAGAAGGAATGCATCTTGGGGGAGGGGGCCTTCAGGAAGAAAAGGGCTTCACAGTAACGTCTTCGGCTCATCCATCCTCCTGAACTCTCCTCCTTCATCCCCGAGCGATGAAGAGGGCCTCCGGGGGAAGTGTTTACTGGGGTTATTAGCAAGATGAATCGCCTTGTTAGCAGCGTGGTTCATTACTGGCGGCTGCTGGAGGCGGTCTTGGGTCACTTCTTTATCGTCTTCGCCGTCTTTTCCCTGTTCACTACTTCCTGTCCCCTCTCCCTCTATCCCTTCTCTCCCTCTTTATGATCTGTCCCTACCTCCCCCTGTACAATCGTCCTTCCACTCCCCTCTCTTCCCTCCCATCACTCCCTCTCCTTTCCTTTCATCTATAACAGGAAAGGTTATTCATATATAGTCACAGTTACAGCCCCGCTCCTGTGCCAGGTAACTCTACTACGGGGTCACCATAGTCCGTGCTATTTGGATTTTTTTTTCTTCCAAATGGCTGAATCTAAAACAGATCATAAATAGTTATAACAAATGAGACGCACACACAACCCCACAGACACCAGCAAGAGTCGTTACTAGCACCCAGTGTTTTCTTCATGTGTGAATACTCTCCCGGAAGTAGGAGACTTCTCTATAATGAACTAGACAATAGAGCATCCTCGTGACTTATAAAAGAAGGTGCTGAGAACCTGTGCAAACCACTGTCAGTGATTTTCATTGATTCCCTGGATAGTCAAGATGAGGCTTGTCAGCTGGACAGTGTATGGGATGAAGGATAGTCGTTGACGACTCACCCGCGTCCGTAGTGGACATGCACTGCCATGTGAAAGAGAATGTCAAAGAAAGTAATAATGCAACACTATAGATGGATAAACCTGGTAATGAAGCACAAAGAAAGGAGGCAGGTCCCACAGATCCCACAGTGTAGGTCCCACAGATGATAAATCAGCTGAAATTCCACGATACAAAAATATAATAACTGAGATCAGAAAGAAAATGGAAAGTTCTGAAGATTTTGCATACTTTAATAATGCCAAGTTAGGTTAGGTATTTAGGCTCTGTTGGTAATTATTTGTAGTACGTGGGTGAAGCATTTGTAGAGTTACAATTCGAACAGATGACGTTAGCGAGGTACTGTTCGGGAAACGTTTAACCGTTATCGCTTGGGAATCATGTGAAGAATATTTTAATTAATAAAAATTGAAAGTTGGCAGGCTGGATTAGAGAGAATTTGCCCTTTGTTTATAAGGACGAGCTGTATATTCATAAATAATTTAGTACAGCATTATCTAAAACATAAATTAATATTATATATAACAATTTTGTGTATAATTTGGTCTAGAGTTAGTTAGGTCAGGTGCTTTGGTTTCATGAAGAATTACCTGTATTACCTGTACGTGGCGAAGTATTCAGAGAGCTGTACCTAGAAAATAGAAAGTGACCGAAGCACTATTCGAGAAAATTTCGAACTTCTGCTGTGATGAATCTGGTGCAAACGGCTTGTCATTCCGAATCAGGAGCCAGATTCACGAAGCAGTTACGCAAGTATTTAAGGACGTGTACATCTTTCCTCAATCTTTGACGCCTTTGGTTACATTTACTAAACAGTTTACAAGCATGAAAACTTCCCAAATCAACTGTTGTTATTGTTATAAACAGCCTGCCTGCTCTCCGAGGCTGCTGCTGCTGCTGCTTCTGGGAATTCTAAAAGTTCCATTCAAAACTGAGGAGCATTTTGAAGTTCATCTTTTTTTAGTTAATTTACTTGTCAGATATTCGAAATGTGATCACTGAGAGTTTTGGGCATGTGTTTAGTTTATGCTTCTATCTCTAACGAACCACTGACGACTCACTAACGAGCCACTAACGACCTCATTTTGTTCTCCGGTGACAGTTCCGGTGGTTCCGGTGATGGGCCTTGACGGAGGATTGGCTGCCCTGCCCTGTGACGTCACGCATTCCCCTAGTGACGAAATCTTCCTCCTCCTGTGGTTTCGTGAACCCCTCACCACACCCATCTACAGGTGAGTCAGGTCTCTCTACAGGTGAGTCAAGTCTCTCTACAGGTGGGTCAGGCATCTCTACAGGTGGGTCAGGCATTTCTACAGGTGGGTCAGGCATCTCTACAGGTGGGTCAGGTCTCTCTACAGGTGGGTCAGGTCTCTCTACAGGTGGGTCAGGTCTCTCTACAGGTGGGTCAGGTCTCTCTACAGATGGGGTCAGGTCTCTCTACAGGTGGGTCAGGTCTCTCTACAGGTGGGTATATAGAAATTAATATACCAACACTAAATTGTTATAGGTAAAAAAATAGTAATATTGCCTGAAACTTATAGTTTTTTCATGCTATACTTTTTTATGCACAGACTGGATTATTTTTTGCTATATTCTGTAAGATAGAATGAGCTCCTTTAATCCTTTATTTCCCTCCTTTACTTAAACCAGCACTACTGCCACCCATTACCTCCAGCAACACCTCCACCCACCCCACCCATCCCACAAGTCACCCCCCATCCCTTACGCACCACCCCTTCCCCCAGCTATCCCCCCCTTTTCCAATGCCCCCTGGCGCCATTTACCACTTGCTGTGACAGGAAAACAGGAAAGAATGCCCTCGACGCAAATCGTGTCGATCCCACGGGAAATCGTGCGAGAATTTCAGGGGTGATCAATACTCAATCTGGTGAGGTGTAGTAACCTCTCCAGCCTGCCCCCCCCTCCCTCGCCTACACCCCAGCCACACCCCCCCTCGCCTACACCCCAGCCCCCCCCCCCTCGCCTACACCCCAGACCCCCCCCCCCTTGCTTCAGTCTTATTGTCCAGCTGTCAACAGTCCCTTAAGTTTACCTGTCACTTTGTAAACTCACGCTAATCCCATTCCGGGGTTAAGTACCTAATAACCAACTGTTTCATATAAGAGAACATATATCGAACCCCGATTATATAGGTCAGACGTAAATATATGTATTGTGTGTATGCAAGTTTAGAATCCGATCACCTTATGTGGTCGAATGTTCAATAACTCACTATGTGCTGCAGCGGCTCTTTAACCCCTTGTCTATGTTGTAGAGACAGAGATGTATGAATGCTGTTTTGTATTGTATTTGCACTACAATCACCCGTGGTTTAGTGCTCGATTAATCACTGCACTACTATATATGTTGTCCAACAAATCCCCAAACCTGTCCATGTAGGACAGAAGAAATATATCTGCTGGTTAGCACTGAATTGACAAATATGGTAAAAAAATAGAATAACTGATACAAATATAATAAAAAATGAACCTCGCTATCCAAGTGTTAGCGGGTGACATCCGGGTCATTTACCACTTTGAGGTGGTAAAACACCCACCTGCTTTTGACAGGTTTGTCCAGCTGTCAATCTTTTCCCCCCTCCCCCTCCAATCCCTTCCCTTTTTCCCCGCCTCGCTGTCGTGCCTACCTGAAGCGCTTTTCCGTGAGACTTGATGGGTGAGTTTCGAACACAGGCCTCAAAAGTACTTTTTTCTTGTTTGTAGTATCAGAGCCGTCGGAGGGAGATTGGTGGCCTCCCTCTGTACTGACTGTGGACTGGACGATGATCTCCCGTGCTCGCATTGTCAGATTTTTTAAGCAGACATGAGTGTTCATTTACACACACACACACACACACACACACACACACACACACACACACACACACACACACACACACACACACACACACACATACACACACACACATACACAAGGCCTGTCTTTCCATCCAGTTTGCAATAGTTAAAGAAGACAAAGTATAGAAGTTGTGGGGAATTGACCTGTGAAATTTATATTTATCTAGTTTATATTATTTTATATAGTAATTTACATTTTTACGTTAATTTATATTTTGCAATAGCAAATTATGATGTTTAAAGTGGACTGCATGATTTATAATTCTCACAAATCGCTTTCCTTACACATTCTAGGGGGTTTATGGTTCATTTATGTAGTCATCAATATATATTATTGCTTAGTAGACATTCACTATAATATCAGACTCCATATATTATTAACTAAAATGGGGAGATTTTTTCTGTATTTAGTGGGCCTGATCCACCAGTTATGAACAAGGTTGATCACACCAAATAATCCTGGTGGTTGAGGCTGGCATCAACACTTGTACTGGTGTAGTAGGTAACTAATGTTAATTCTTCTTCCTCTTCAATAACACCTGTCAAAGGGCACTTACAATAATAGCAGTAACCCTAATTATGACAGCAATATCAGAGGAAATATTGGTATTATTTGTGAGATAAGAATATTTACCTTAGTTTTGTCGTTGTCTCGTGTCCTAACCGACTTCATCCTATATATCTACTTAGTTCTCTGGCCAGGAAAGCTCTAAGATAATAAACGGATTTCGGTAAGACACTTGCCTTATAGTAGACGTAGCTGTGTGTTGAGAAGGGAAGCACTTTACTCCCATAACACTGTTATCCAAGGGAAAATTATAGGAGCTAAATTTGCCCCAGCGACTGATGCTAAAATTAAATGGCGACTCACTGTGGCTCTCCTCACACTGACGCCTTGGCTGCTTTGTCCAGATGTCAAGAAGTGGTTGGAAGGGCCCCTCATTTACTCTATTTTGGTATTGATAATTACGTTGATTCAAGGGAAATGTTGTTATGATGTTTACAGTCCAAAGATTGCTATATTAAGAATGTTTCCCAATATTAGGTGGTGAATTTAATGACGACATGTGGCAATGATCTCTCGTTTTCTACGGGGGGAAAATTCTACTGTGTCACGTATTCTATGAATTAATTTGTTACTACACAACAGCAGGAATATTATCTGCCTATTGTATTAAATATTAGTATATGGTGTCGATTTTTCCGACAAAGATAAAGACAAAATAAGATGTGAAGGTGAATGGAGAAAAGGGAAATAGTGAGAAGGAGAAGAAAGAGAGGGGCGAATAAGGAAGATGAATCTAGAGAAAAAGTCATAAAGAATAGAGAAGAGAGAGAAAATTGTCGGAAGTAGAAAGAGGCCTAATTTCAATCGTAGGCAATAAATTCACCAGCGGATGAAAAAAGTAATTAAAAACAACATAAATATACTTTTTACACCAAAGGTGGTGAGATGTTTTTGTAAGACTTGGGTGATGCTGCATCTTACGAGGGAAAAGATTTTGTAAGCTTATTACGTGAAAAAGGTGACGAAGTATTCTTTCTCTCTCTCTCTCTCTCTCTCTCTCTCTCTCTCTCTCTCTCTCTCTCTCTCTCTCTCTCTCTCTCTCTCTCTCTCTCTCTCTCTCTCTCTCTCTCTCTCTAAAAAATATAACGGGCCAATCTTTCTGTAGCTGCTTGAGAAAATTGAAATTCCGATATCGTTTCCTTGTTAGGCAGCGGAGGGAAGGCCATTTGCTGCCTCCAGGCCAGATAATGAGTCTTGCAAGCATAGCGTCTTTTCAAAAGGGGCTGTACTCGGCCTGTGTGTGTGTGTGTGTGTGTGTGTGTGTGTGTGTGTGTGTGTGTGTGTGTGTGGGTCCATAATACCTGTTTAGGTGAGTTGGTAGACCCGGATGCGCTGATGATTGAACTTGTTCATATACATGCACACATACACGCAGGAACATACACACACACACACACGCATATACGTACACACAAACAAACACATACATCAAATATACACGGTCGCGCACACAAAATTTATGCTGCCCATTTGTGTACACTCTCTCTCTCTCTCTCTCTCTCTCTCTCTCTCTCTCTCTCTCTCTCTCTCTCTCTCTCTCTCTCTCTCTCTCTCTCTCTCTCTCTCTCTCTCTCTCTCTCTCTCTCTCCCTCTCCCTCCTCCCGTTGAAATAAAAGTCCTCACACACACACTCGTGTTCAATATCGCTAACACTTCCATACTAACATTTAACTTTGTAAAACAGAATGAAATGACTTTTTTCAACCCTGCGTCCAATAATTGAGGGCTACTTTACCCCTGTTAAGTGAATTGCGTCCAATAACGGAACTATTGTACGGTTGTATATTGTGTTGTCGCGGGAGTCTTTAGGGACAATTAGAGCCTTAATCACCTGCCGGAGTCCAGAACGACGGCCATATCTACTTTCTTTACGATGAAAGTTGTTTGTGTACTTAAGAATATAGACGTTGTCTTGTTGGTGTCGTTTGTGTGTGTGGGAGGCTCTGGGTGTACTCACCTATGTATATTCACCTAGTTGTGCTGGCGGGGGTTGAGCTTTGGGCTCTTTGGTCCCGCCTCTCAACCGTCAATCTACTGGTGTATAGATTCCTGAGCTTTTCGAGCTCTATCATATTTACATTTGAAACTGTGTATGGAGTCAGCCTCCACCACATCACTGCCTAATGCATTCCATCTGTTAACTACTCTGACATTGAAAAAATTCCTTCTAACGTCCCTGTGGCTCATGTGGGTACTCAGTTTCCACCTGTGTCCCTTTGTTTTGCGTACCACCAGTGTTGAATAGTTTATCCTTGTTTACCCGGTCGATTCCCCTGAGGATTTTGAAGGTTGTGATCATGTCTTCCCTTAATCTTCTGTGTTCTAGTGTCGTAAGGTGCATTTCCCGCATCCTTTCCTCGTAACTCATGCCTCTTACTTCTGGGACTAGTTTAGTGGCATACCTTTGAACTTTTTCCAGTTTCGTCTTGTGCGTGACAAGGTACGGGCTCCATGCTGGGGCCGCATACTCCAGGATTGGTTTTACATATGTGGTGTACAAGATTCTAAATGATTCCTTACACAGGTTCTTGAACGCCGTTCTGATGTTAGCCAGCCTCGCATATGCCGCAGACGTTATTCTTTTTATGTGGGCTTCAGGAGACAGGTTTGGTGTGATATCAACTCCTAGATCTTTCTCTTTGTCCGTTTCATTAAGTACTTCATCTCCTATTCTGTATCCTGTGTCTGGCCTCCTGTTTCCACTGCCTAGTTTTATTACTTTGCATTTACTCGGGTTGAACTTCAACAGCCATTTGTTGGACCATTCACTCAGTCTGTCTACATCATCTTGTAGCCTCTACTATCA